TTCTTTATCTTCGCCTTGCACTCCCAACTACATGGGGTCGGTCACTTTATTCTTACACCTCAAGTGTCCTCATATCACACATAGGCAAGGTCAAGCCTCATTTTTAACCCTTTCCTAGTAACTTGATCATAAAGTAATCTTATGTTTATATTACACCTCTCTCAAAGGGGTCAATTATTAAATATTATAAATTATGTAATGTTCAAATGAAGTACACGGTAAATACAACTAAAATATTTAATTACCTACATTATATAATGCTATTCAAACTAAATACGAGTATAACATTGTACACAGCCCATTAGAATTTGTCCATAATTCAAATTATTTACGTTTCACTTGCACGTATGGTGTGTGTGTATGTAGATTGACCGTGCAATTACTTTGGACATGCGAAAACAGTTCGGTGAGTTTTATGTACTCAATGTAAATATAATCTCACAAGCGGTCTCTTTTAAAAAATAGAAGGAAAAAAAAAGCAAGACTAACGTCGGGGAATAAAAAGCAGCGACGACGTGTGTACCTATACCGAAACCAGATAATCAGATAACTCTAAACGTCAGACATTGCCGGTGGCGTGTCAGGAAAAAATATATTTCCATATAGCTCTTACTTCTTCTTCTTCTTATAGTCACACTAGTATTTAAAAACACCGCCTCGGCTAGACGTTGGGTCACACATTCTTGTGGCAAAGCACCGCCTTAGAGATATAATAACATAAACCAGGTAATATGCTACACTTTTTGGACTTGTAAGATTTCACGTGCCTGGAACACCAATTATTTTATGCGCCGGCTTTTTTTTTTGTTTGTTTTTACAAACAAGATCATCTCGAATTTCGTCTTTAAGACGATTCGATTTCAACACAAACCGCTTTGTAAAACGATTTAAAACTAATTTAGTAAAAATTGAGTTTATACATTAAAAGGGATGACCCTTTGAATGTATAAACTCAATGCAGTAGGGCCAAATTATAGTGTAGAAAATATTGCACACACTAATTACAATAATAACGTGTAAACTGATAACAAGAGGTTGATTAACAATGGTTAATGGTGACAACATTTCAGATGCTTGTTACAATTTCTTAGATCACACTGTACAATAGAAAAATTATTTTTTGGTCACACTGACATGAGATTATTAAAGTTTGTTTACATTTCTTATTTTTTAAAGTGAACTATCTGGCATTTATATAATCTGTGTTTATACACCAAGTTGTATTACCTACGTCGTTTCGGGTGCCGGATTTTTTAAAATATTTTTTATCAACCCGTTTATGATAATGATTCGGCACACAAGATTATATATATATTTTTTTTATAAGACTATATCATTCTAGTATAAAGCTAATTCACATTTTAACGCGTTTAAGTTGTGTTGTAATAATACAGTGTGTTGAAAACGTTCAACGTTGTTTTACGATTGGTATATAATTTGTTTTATCGACCGACGATGATGTTGTTTGCATTGGCGAGTGAAAACTGAAGACCTACAAGAAGATATTATTATTACCAAACGGTATATATTGTTATCGATTGAACGCTATTTTACGACCCCGTCTGTTTTTTCTACTGGCATTTGTCCCTATAATGGGTATGTATATAGTATGGGATATGACTTGGAAGACACATATTGTCGCCACTCTCTACCGTGCCCATTACAAGAAAACCATCGTCCCCCATCGGCACTGAAAACGGTGCTACGGTTAAGACAGGCACGGCAGGTGGTCATCATCAACACGAAGAGACCTCAACGCACACGATATGTCCATGACGGTTGTGTGTGCACCTACAGTGTACATATATAACATCAATTAGGTACACCAAAGATCCGTTGGTAAGTACCATTGCCGTCTATGTAATGTGTAACAATACACAATTATCCTTCTTTTCGGTAAATTATCCACTAACGCCTGGGACCAGATTATTGTGTAGGAACAGAGAGACAGGGCAAATCGGCACTCCTCCTCCCCAGTCATTATAATATTACCATATAAGTGCTAGGACGAATTAGGGATTTGTTCAACGGTAAACTCCAGTCATATCTTTTATTGTGTAATATTAATAGTATAGTATACTTTTCATATGGTGTATCATCACACTGCTGTAGTATTTCTAGCCTTTAATGCAGATTAAATAAAACCAGAAAAAAATTCAAACAAACTTAAATAATCTCAAGTTAGTGTGACCGAAAAATAGAAAAACTGATTCTTCTGTTATACAGTGTGGTCTAAGGAATTGTATAAAACACCCGTGCTGTTATCACCATTAACCATTGTTAATCAACTACTTGCTATCAGTAATTCTTATCGGTTTACACATTATTATTGTAAATAGCGTGTTCAATATTTTCGACACTATAATTTTGCCCTTCTGCATTGAGTTTTAACCAATCAAAAATCGTTATTTGAAAATCTATATTTTTTTAACTGTAAAGCGCACTATCTGGTTTTATTTTATATCTGTGCCTTTAGTTTATATACAATATTACTGCGTCATAATTTACTACATTAGTATTACTAGTATTAATATTAGGTTGAAATTTTGCGAAGCTGTCAAGATCCTGTGGGAACACACCCTACCAAGAGACCTATTTTAATTAACAAAACGGTTTCCTATGAAGTTTTAGCAGTATTGGAGATGAGACAAGTAAGTTACGCTCATCCAATTGTTTTTAATTATTATGAAATTTCCCGTTGTACAAACTGTACTAAACTTGATGAAAATTTAATATTTTTTTTTGCTTAAAGATGGAATGAAGTTGATTGAAATGTATTAAAATCAATAATTTTGTTATTAGTAACCGCACTTAATGTTGGGTCGACCTGTCCTAACAAATTATATTATGCGCTTGACGCCAATTAAAAATAATAATGCAAAACGACAAGCTATATATTTTTTTTCTAGTTGTATCACTGTCGTTTGTGTCACTGAAGTCGTCAAACTCGACTTGATTAATTATCAAACGATAGGTATATACAATAATATATAACGTTTTCTTTTTCGAAATATATATATTTATATAATATCAAATCAGATCATAAAGAGAATAAATAAATAATATTATACTTTGTAGATTACTGATTCGAGTCGTCCACGATGTGCGATAACGTTATTTGAAAAATAAACTAGACTATATTATCATTATACATCTGGTTGGGGTAATAAAAAAAATATGAACGCTAAAAAAAAATATGTAAGAGAGCTGTTGTTTAATAGGATATTAACGAGTTTCGATAGCGTCCCACGGGCATCGCTTGACCAGTTAGTTAACATCCCACTCAGAATCGGCTTGTTAGTTGTTTACCAAACTGGCAGGAAATTTGTCAGTAACCCAACTTGTCGACACATTTGGCAATAATCAATTTAACGTTTTAAAAAAAAAAACCTTAATCGTTAAATCTTGCCTCGACAGTATAGGACTTCACAAACAGTTCACCTTTAACTGTTTTGAAAAAAACCTTTATTTACAAGAAGTTAATCAAAATAGTTTTTTACTTTGTTCTATCCTAAAAAAGTTTTTACTTTTTTAATATCTATATAAATGCCACAAAAGTTTTTGCTAAACTTTTCCCTCTAAAACAGAAGGTATTTGTACACAAAAAATTCAATTATTAAGTTGTTAAGTACTTGGTTGCTTTTTCATAAAATGGATTGTGTTAAAAAAATTAAACTGTCACTTACCTGTACTATGAAATTTAATTGATTATTATACTTATATTATATTGATATAAACTATCATCATTCGTTTTTATGTTAAACGCATAGTATAGGAGTAAAATTATTATTAAATATATTGACGGTTACATTTCCTATTAATAAAAACGTGAAAGCCTAGTACTTTTTTCACTGGTTCCTATTCGTGCAAACGGTTTATAGGAACTATTAAATAAAAACTTTTATAAATCCAGTTAGAAAATAAAAGTTATGAAAATAACATTGTTGAAACAAGTTCTATCGGTAAAAGTAAAAGTTAAAAAAAAACTTTTAGACATCTACATGTATATATATGTAAGTTAAATTTTTAATTTTATTAATAACAGTTAACAACAGTGTTCACTGTATATTGTGTGATATATCTACCACAAAAATTATAGGTAGATAAACGGTAGTGTTTAATTTGGTTTTTTTTAATCCCATTAAAATAATGTAAATAGGTTTGGATAGTTTGTAGGTTGTATTATAGTGGGCAACGCCTTCTGTTGCAATAATATTGTAATGTACCGTACATTGTTATTCCGGATCACCCGTCCGGTAGTCTATTACTATTCGTACTTACTTAATGTATACTTAGTACATTCGAGGAAACTTAAACGCACGTTTACCGCTACGAACCGGAATAGTTTCCGGCCCGCATAGGTCGTACAAGGATACAAAATAATTTAATAATAATAATAATAATAATGGTATTAAAAATACAAACAACGTACGCCGCTTAGACGGTGGTGAACATGACACCATCGATTTAAGTCTGATCACGGTTAAGATAGAGAAAGAGAGAGAGAGAGGTATATTTTCGGTCGCCAACCAGTTTTGGATAATTACTTTTAAATGTATTTAAGTTTAAAATTTCAAAAGTAATTATCCAAAACCGGTCATCGGCTAGTCGACATTTTCAGAAAATTATTTTTAATTTTAAAAGCTGATTAATTATCAAAGTTCTCTTTGAAGTTTTAAAAGTTAATAGCGCGCTGGAAAAAAAACAATTTGAATATTTACTAATGTTGTACAACAACATAAACTGAAGTATTTCTTCTCTTCTGTGATCGTACTGGTTTTAGTGTTTCTGTGAACTTTGCTATAATTACACACAAGCTAGTTTATTACGTTAGCTCATCTGACGTTACTTGGCCAATGTTGCTTGGATACTATATTATGTTGTTTTTGTCAATCGATCGTCTTATGATAATTTGATTTTGCACAGTTGAATATTTTGTCTCCATTTTTGTACAACATTTTTGTCTCAAGATGGCTATGGTTTATTGTGTAATCCTCCTAATGTGTTTCCTGTTGATGTGCGACTGTCGCATTCATGCTTTGCTGTACGACGACACGTATACGGTACAAAGTAAGTTTGTATATGTTCTTTGGTCGTATAAAGTATTTTATTTTACAGCAATATGCGTACAATGTTGTAGACTTTCGGCCTAAAAAGCTGGTGGAAAAGCAATGCTTGTTGACCCAAAAGCCAACGGACTTGCAGTGCGGACCTCCGAAGGCAGTTGACCATCCACCGACTGGCCAGGGCCAAGAGGTCGTGTGCGGCAGCCAGACTTCGCCGTGCCAGTCGCGAAAATCGCTGACACCTTATTTGGCTTACAAAAACGGAAAAGTGCACTTGTACACCTATGAGGATTACATGCGCACAAAGGGACTCGTAAAGGAACAGAAGGAATGTTATGACTATCGTGCGACTAGTAAGTTTCAGTCGACGTGCACGGTAAGAGGTGGCAGCTGGATGGTCTGGTTTTATGACTGGTTGGCTAGTTTTCTCAGCAACAGTATCTTATTTTTCTCTATACCATTTGTTATTCTTATTATTTTGCTGTATGTATTAAAAAATTGAATAAATAACTTTGTATTGTATTATTGTCGTTTGATTTCTAATATTATTAATGCATAGACTACGCTCCTTAAAATCTTAGCTCTCTCTCTCTCTCTCTCTCTTCTCTCACCTCTGCCCCTTGGTAGATCACCAATAAAACCTTACACAAGGACCTAACCTAGTTAAATTTAATTAATAGGTTAATCGATTTTTCGACATGAAAGCGTCTTATTTTCGTCCTCCTCGTCTCCAAGCACCATAAGGTATATTCATGATCCAATATATCTTCTTCAAGGAAATAACTCTCTCCAGCCAACTCCAAATTATAGTCAGCTCGTACTAGAAAAAGAACATTTTGGTAAATTCTGATTTGCCCACCCCTCTCAGAGTGATTGTAACAGAATGTATAAAGGCAAGAAAATGGATCGTTAAAAAAAAATTTGAAATTTAATATTCAATTTGGTATTGGTCTAGGTAGGTATGCTTATAAAGATGTCACCTGTTGTGACATCTCAAAATAGATTTTTTCATAGGTTTTAATCGAATTTATTTTACTTTTCAGCCTACGTTGACTTTTCCCACGAACCCTTAAAAATAATCACACACACCTTCATCCAAGTATGAAAACTAGTATTGTTTGTACTTAATTTGCCCTGACCAACACACATGTTCTGTTGTCTTCGACGTTATGCTAATAGTTATATTGTGGTATAAGCGCATTGTGTTTTTCGGAAAACCGTCTTGCCGATTACTTTATTATAGATGGACATCAGACATTAGTGTTCAATTTATTGATTTCCGCAACAACAATATAAAACGCTTACACGGTACACATCTTAATAATAATAATAGTGTTGTATAATTATTATTATTATTACCTACTATACAGGCGGTGGTCGCTTTGTGTGGCTGATAAAGTAAGTACAAACGCTTTTGTTTGCCACAGTAAAGCGCATCAAAATAAAAAACTCTGAAAAAAACCAAGCGGGACGTGCCGCCGAGATGATGAATCGCCAAGTAGATTTTTTTCGGTCTATACGAAAAACGTTACTCGTGAGAACGTCTTGATCGCGATATTATGTATTATACATTTATCTCCGGTCTTGTCTTCGTCTTGTTCCTTTTTTTTAAACCAAACAGTATCAACATCAGTGCATCGGTGGTGGTTATACGTGCCCGAGTCGGTTTAAGCCCAAAGAAAACAAACAAACACACACACATTACACGCCGTCTCGGTCTCAGAAAATCGCTTATGTATAAAAATTAGATACACACACACACAGAGGTCGTTTTTAAAGAAGAAAAAAAACCTCAACGATTACTTAATTATTTTTTTGGCTCGGATAATTTTTGACACAATATTATAACCGAGTAGGTATGTTTACTCGTAAATACTTATTATACAGACAGAGTAATAACATAATGATTTATCAAGACCAGTTGTCCGAAACGAGCGCACAAGTGTCCTACACTTTTTTCCACGCTTAGCAAAATGTCTATTAATACACACACACACACACAAGGTAATTAGTAAAACTATATTAGAACCTACAACCATGTGCTGTTGGTAAATTATCTTCCAAGATGTTCGGGCCATGGTGTGTAGAAAGGTCAGCGTGCTTACTGCTTGGGCCAACCGCTTTTTCAAAATACTACAAAATATGTTCGAAATACATAACTTGGAGAGAGGCCTTGGATTTACAATTTGCTTACATTGAAAATAATACTGTTGCCCTCTAACCCATTTGTACAAGCCCAAGACCTTATGGGCAAACCAAAAAATGTGTACCGTGCTTTTTGTTTTAAAAAACTGTTGTTTTCAAGTTTCAACGAGACAAAAGTCCGTTTTTGAAATTTTACTTTTTGTAAATTAATGTGCATGGAAAACAGTACACAAAGTATTTATTCAGTGTTTTCTATTTTTTTTTATTATCTATTTTTGCACTTATTGGAGTTTTTCTCTTTTATAATGAAAGATATGACTAAATGTGACTCCGTTAAGCAAAAATATGTATATTTTAAAAATTTGGAGTTACCCCAGTTTAGTTAGTAGAGCTTCACAATGCTATCGATAATTAAGCACAGCTTGTTATGTTTTTTTTATCGAATATGTTGTTTCGTTTAATTTGTTTACTGTAAACACTATTGTGTTTCAATAAACTTGTTTTCGATTCGAGTTAAAGACTAGTTTTTACAATTCAGGCAACACTCTCCGCGTGTTTCTCTTGTGCTAGCTAGTGTATCTAGCAAGTTATGTTTAAAGTGTACATAAAATTTTTTAAAAGAATAACCGAGACACTCGTGGTAGGACACGCGCCGCCACATAACGACGTGCCTCTTATAATTATTGTTGGTTAAGTAATATTGCTCAGCAGCTGCTAAGGAAATGAGAAGAAGTACTGTCCGTATAATATTACTTATAAGAACCCATTGCCAGATGTATTTAACGTAAAACACATTTTTCACATATTTTGCTATACAACGGCATATAGTATATAATATACACATCAAGTAAAATACATAATATTAAATATACAGGATGGTCAATCTGATGTAAGACATCAGTTTTCTCGGAAAATATGAATATTTTGAAATTTATTTTTGCCCTATACTCGCAGGATACACATTTTACTACATTTTTCAATACTTACAAACATTTTATCTTCATCCCTTGTACGTAAAAAGAGTATGGACTTTGGTTTTTTTCAAATGCGAACAATATTCTTTTGTTTTTACCAAGACTGGTAGCCGTCACTGTGTTTGAATAGGTAGATAAAAACCGCTCGTCTATCGTTATCTCAAAGCAGGTAGGTAAAGAATCGCTTATCCACATAATATCAACAAAAAAAAATGTGTAATGAGCGTTATTTATGTCTGGTTATCGGTGACAGTGTTATAGACGGGGGTCAATATTATTTGATTTAATAAAATGAGAGCTGCTAAACTACCGTCTTCGAAAAACCGAACGATTGTTGATCTTAAATTCAAATTTGTACAAATTTTTAATATCCAGCTGTCGACTTAAATATAATATGTATTTGCATTTGAAAAACTAAATATATTAAATAATAATAACATATTAAGTGTATTATATATAAATTATTTTAAAAATATCTATAATTATAAGCTATTTTTTGTTGGTAGTCATAAGATAAATTTTGTTTATTTAATTTTTTTTTCTTAATTGTTTAACTGGTAGATAAATTATGTTATGTATTTGATATATTATAATTTTGTTAAAGTATGTAACTATTTGATTAAAAAAAAAACAATATCTCAGTCTTAATCCGTTATCTATACCCGTCATCTAAAAAATGCAGACATTTCCTTTCTTTCAAAATTATCAAATATCTGTTCCTCACTTCTAGAACGTATTTCCTTCCACTACCTCAATACAATTCCGAACATGTCCCTCTTTAAGGATCTAAATAATCATATTGAGAGGATTCTGAGGTTGGGAAATGCGGATTGGATTGGAATTTTTTTCATTGCTAGACACCAGTAGCAACTAAGTGTTTCATTTGTTAACCGGTTGGTGATTGTGTAAAAAATGTCATTTTAGTTAGTACTAATTTTATGTGAAATATATCTTGTTCAATAAAGGTTCATATTTTACAATATCTACTGTTATAATATTTTACTTATATTTTTACTGTATACTGGGCCAATATGACGTTAAACTCGTGTTTAATTTCGAATAAAAATCGAAATTCGATCAGACTTAAGACATTTTGGTATAGCTAGCTTGTAAAATAACTATTGTTTATACGAAAGCTATCGCAGTAGTGTACTGAAAGGCGTCAACCACTTAAGTTTAAATGTGTTTAGACACTATGTACACACAATATTATACAATATTGGCGTCGTTAAAAAACATGCCTGGGTTAATTTCGTGGTATAAACTTTCTCAGTTTTTTTAATAACAGATTAAAATCACCATAATAAATGTCATCGTGACCATATCTCTCCATTACATATTATTATTATTATTATTGTGTTTTTATATGTGCAGTGCTGGGCTACTGCGGTATATTCTAAAGCCATAAAGAAAGGTAGATATCTTTTGACGTTGGTAGGTTGTATATTTGTTTTGGTTGTTAAGTTGTTGTTAGTCCAAGTCCATAAACAACTCCGGTACGCCACGGAGAAATCATATAATGAGAATAAAACGCTTCTCGTTGCGTAAACGCAGACAAGTGCGGTTAAGTATACCCGGAGACATTATTATTAGTGAAAACTCAAAGTCAAGCACATAAATCAAACCGATAATATTACTTATTGTTCTCCGAATCAAGCATAAGAATAATATTGTCATCGTTAATTAGAAAATCGATTCCGGCTAAGAGTGTTTTTTTTAATGAGGGACAGTTAAAAATGTTGTTCCTTATTACTCCTTCTAAGAAAGGTACGAAAACTTACATGTTACATTAACATCATTGTTTTGTCATCGTATTACAGCACAATGGGAGTATAATGTAAATTAATTTTCAATTATAAAACGTGGATTCAACATTTTGTTTTTTTTTTTCGAAAAAAAAATGTAGATTATTACACTAGTCATAAGGCTGTAAGACCTAATCCTAGCCATTAGGGTTATGGGGCAAAATATAAACTAAATTTTTAAATTAAAAATGTACTACATTTTATGTTTACGATTGTAAAATGGTTATTAATGGTTTAACTGTAAATAAATGAAGTAGTGTTACTGGACACCCCTTAATTTCACGTTGTCCTGTCTTTGTATTATATATATTTTTTCAAATTTACTTATTGTAACTAATATTACAGATTGTAAATATATTTTTAATTAAAAAAAAAAAAAAACTAAAAAAAAAAAAAATTTACATTTTGTACCCATTTGTTTATAATATC